GGGGGGGGGGGGCGGCGGACGGTTTGTCCTCCCCTCCATTACGGGGCTGAGGGGAGCGGGTGAGCCCCGGTGCCGGAGGGTGCCTGGGGGACCGGGTGCCCTCGGCCTGTACCGCGGAGCTCGCCTTGGGGCCGTGCCCGGGTAAACCGAGGCAGGAAGGGGGCGGCGGCCGCCAGCTGGGCCGGAGGGACAAGGGCGGTCAGCGCTGCGGGCACGGCCTGGTCACGGCCCCCCCTCACAGGCGGGAGCGGGGCTTCCCTGCGCCCAAACGGGCAGCAGCTTGGGCAGACGTATTAGTATTTGATTTTTGGGGTTTTTTTTCCGTCTCAAATCGAATATTCATGTTTTCAGTTCCGCTGTCACACGGGTAGAACCCAGTGAAAAACGTAACGAGGGAAAAAAACCAAAAGATAAGGCGCATTCGGCAATAAGTGGAGGCTTCCTTCCCGGGTTGAAGCAGTTTGGGGCAAGCTGTTGACCGAAATAATAAGAATATGCAATTAACAGCGTGGCACTCAGTCTCCTGAAGGTGTAGGATATACCACAAAATAGTTGGGAAAAATATATAAACACTTCAAGAGTTGGTTTACTTTCTTCAAATCCCTGTGGCAGTTTTTACTATGTATTTTCTGACAGAAGCAGCGTGTATTTGGCATTAAATATGCTTTTCAGCTGGTTATACTAAACCACAGTCTTACAAGAAATAAGTCAGTTCCCACTGCTTGTAGTTGTTAAGTCATCTTGATATTATTTTTTTTCCCCTTGGCTCTAAAAGGTACTGTATGAAAGCTGCCTTCCAGTGCTGAATTGTGACTTTGTCATAGCCTGGCATGTTTCACAATAATTTCTTTTTGTACCGTGAGTAATATTTTTTTGTATGGATGTCAGCTTTTCTATAACAAAGCAGTATTTGAGCCAAGCCAAGGTTAATTTAAAGATTGGGAGGCAACCCAAACTCTTTGTTGCATAAGGAGTCATGAGACCTTAAGATAGAAAGGAGGGAGGACTTATTAGAATTTTAAAGTGGCTTGTATAAGGTGCAAAGTATCAGTAATGCCTGGAAGTATGTACTTTGATGTATGGTGTTTACCACAGCTCTGACTAAAATTCTCCTGGCTTTGTTTCCCTCCTTTCTGTCATGACAGGTTAGTGCTGTAAGGAAATACGTATGCAGATTTGAAAGTTGTTATCTTTTAAGGTTTTGACTGCATGCAACTCCCAACCATATGAAAATATAGGCATCAAACAAACTCAAGTCCAAAAGTAGCATGAGAATTCTTTGTAAAACTACTGTGGGTTTTTTTTCTCCCCCTTCACCCTGATGGAACTTGTTTTGTGCACCCTGCGTAAAGTTATCCTGAAACTAAAGTGAATATATCCTATATTTTTTTTTAATTAAAAAAGTGGTTTGTACTTCTAATGTGAACATTAGAAAAAACCTTTCAGAAAGTCTGCCTGCATAAAAGAGACTGTACAGTCACAAAGCTGTTAAATTTTTTGATAGGTTTAGTTCCAAAAGCTGGTGGGTTTGGTTACTACTAGTAGTAGTCTTAAATGTTAGCATTAAAGAAGTGGTTTTCAGACCACGGTTGTTTTGAAACAGTTGTTTGTTGGTGTGAGAAGGGCTGTGTTACCTCTACAAACTTTTATCCTTTGTTGTGTGTGTAGTTTACAAATAACATACAAGGTTTTTTCTACCCTTGAGGTAATTATACAGAAGGTATTATAAAGGCATAGATGAATCAAAAGGACTCAAAAAGTCTCCTTAAGACTAAGATTTCACTTTTTTTTTTTTTTCTTCTGTCTTTTACCAAGCCCTTGCAAGGACTTTGTGGAAGGACAAGGTCATAGGTGTAGGTATACGTATTATAGTCCCATGGTTAAACCTACTGGAGTTCTCCGAATTTATGAAGAACTCCAGGATAAACAAGGCACCAATTCAACATAACTTGTGTGTCTCAATGGGCTGAGTGAAACTTGGTTGTTGCTTCAAAATGACATAAGTATTAATGATTTTTAAAAGTCACTGTATGAACTGGAAGGGTCTTAAAAGCTATGTCATATGCTAAAAAAGAGTCAATATAATCCAGTTTCCAAGTTTGCTTTTCTTAGAATTGTAGTAGTCAGGATTCATAAATGGTATTGAAGCTCTTCATGGGATTTTTTTGTGTAGCAGTGTCACAGGCTGCCTCAGAGTGGGGATGAAGTGGAAGTCTCTGTGTGTTTATAGAACACGTGGGAAGGATGGAAATGTCTGTAACAAATGATAACACAAGGAGGTTGGAAAGGAAAACACAGAAGCTTAGGATGCCGTTGGTAGGATCTGTGCTTTTTTGTCACTTAGTGGGCTTGCCAGTCTTACAGGAGTATGACAGCCATCAATACAAAAAAACCCAATGAATTTATTATTAGGAAAACTAATACATTGGGTTTTAGCTGTGAGAAACTTGAAACTTTTAATTGGTAAAACTAATGACAAGAAAAGAAGAATACTGGCAGTGCCAGAAGCTGGAATCAAAAAAAAAACAAACACAAAACCAGACGTAGTTCTCTCTAAGCGAACTCTGAAATAAATTTCTTGACCAAAAAGTTCAATTAAATATGTGATGTGTGAGCATTTTATATTCTCATCCTCTGCAGACTGTACTGTGTTCTAAGAAAGGTCTCGTCAAACCAGAGGCTTGGAATGGGTTGTTTGTAGCTTTTATACCTCGGTACAGAAAATATGTCAGGATAATGAGCTGATTAATTAAATGCATTAATTTGTGACTATCTTGAAGTTGCATATTTTACACTTACTAGACTGAGTCGTGGAATGGTTGATGAGCTTTTTCCTAACATTCCTTGGATACGGTAGTGTCATCCTACCTACTTTAATATATGAAATTAAATTCTAATTAAAAAAGTTTATTTGTAATGGCAACTTAAGTGATTTCTAGTTTAAGCTAAACTAGAAATTTAGCTAGAAAAACTAGCTAAAACATAATAAAGCATACATATTTAAGGATGCTAACATACAGATCCCATATAATTTAGGAGAGTGTTTTAAGAAGTTGAACTCTGAGGATGGGAGAGTTTCCTGTGGGGTCTGACTAGGTGATGTCTTAAAGTGAGCAGTGAAATAATTTTCTCTGGATCATTTAAAACAGCAAAATGTAAGTTAGGAAGCATGTGATATATAAGCAGTGAAAACAATACCGAGAACATTTTCTGCTCTTGCATGTTTCTCTTGACAAGCTATAGATAATGTTTTGATTTTAGCAGATGTTCCTTTGACCTGAAAATGTTTTAAATAAAGCTAAAGTGATAAGTTTCTCGTAAGTTTCTGAACATTATATTCCTGTGTATAATGGGATATATATTGTCTCTTTGAAATGTTTGCACATATTTCAGTATAGGTTAGGATTTTATCATACTTAAGGAGTTGAGTTTATGCTTATAGCTTTATGCTAATGGAGTGGTGAATGAAGAATAAAGAACCTAAATAATTTTGGGAATTCAAGCCACCTACAGTAGCGTGTGTTGCATATTAGTAAGAACACATTGGAAATGCAGTTCTTCTGTCAAATGTCTTTCATGTGGTTATTCGTGGACCTGTGTTAAACAGAAGTGTATATAACTCTCTCTGTGTACTCTGCCTCATGCAGAACCCTGGGTGTGGATGTGAATAATTGTTCTTTCCTCTGCCTTTGTGGATTGCCGTTTGGGGAAAAAAATAAAAAAACAACCTGGAGGCTAATCTAGTTCAATGTACGCTTCTGTGAGATACAGATAGGAATTTCACCTGTTTACAGTAATTAAAATACCTAAAGCAAAACTTCGATTGTCAGTATGGGAGTTGATACCCCATGAAGCCGCTGATAAAATAAGGAAGGCCTTCTCATCAAGAGTTACTTTTTCCTTCTATTCACCATTGCTTTTCCTTTATAGGACTTTAAAAGGAGTTGAGTGGGGATGAGTGAGTTTATTCTGGTGCATTTTCTGTGGTCCAGGTGTGTGGATGCTACTGGCGGAAGAGGGTAGGACGCTGCGGATGCGGAGCCCATGTGGGTGTATCTCAGTTTAGTGCAACACGTAACTGTGGATTTAGTGTTAAATGGTCATAATCTGTGACTCAGATACTCGAGCTCATCCTGTTGTGAAGTTTTTTTCCCTTGTTTTTTTCCTTTGTACTAACTTCTGGTCTGAGTCCTTTGCAAACGTTGCCCTGGTAAGGCATAGGGCTGTTGCCTTAGGGAGTGTAGGACCCCATAGGTGATGTAGATAGTCTTCTCTACTGGGATTTTTTTTAAGAAAGTGGGAGTACACTCAATTACAGTGCTGCGGAGTTCCTACAGATGTTTCTTGAAGTTGTCTTGGAGTGACTTTTCAGCTACAGGGTTGCTCCTACTGTACAAGATGCTGCAGCTCTAAATAGCCTACTAGAATGGTTAACGTAAACTTGGTATGGAAGGGAGGGGAAAAGGATGAGTATGGCCTGTCTTGGGCAGTTGCTTTAAATTAAGACAATAATGATGTCAGTAAAAAAAAAGTGCCTTAGGGAGTGTAGGACCCCATATGTGATGTAGATAAAGTCTTCTCTACTGGGATTTTTTTTTTAAGAAAGTGGGAGTACACTCAATTACAGTGCTGCAGAGTTCCCACAGATGGTGATGTAGATAGTCTTCTCTACTGGGATTTTTTTTAAGAAAGTGGGAGTACACTCAATTACAGTGCTGCGGAGTTCCTACAGATGTCCATGAAGCCACTGATAAAATAAGGAAGGCCTTCTCATCAGGAGTTACTTTTTCCTTCTCTTCACCATTGCTTTTCCTTTATAGGACTTTAAAAGGAGTTGAGTGGGGATGAGTGAGTTTATTCTGGTGCACTTACCATGGTTCAGGTGCGTGGATGCTACTGGTGGAAGAGGGTAGGACGTTGTGGATGCGGAGCCCATGTGGGTGTATCTCAGTTTAGTGCAACACGTAACTGTGGATTTAGTGTTAAATGGTCATAATCTGTGACTCAGATACTTGAGCTCATCCTGTTGTGAAGTTTTTTCCCTTGTTTTTTTCTTTTGTACTAACTTCTGGTCTGAGTCCTTTGCAAACGTTGCCCTGGTAAGGCATAGGGCTGTTGCCTTAGGGAGTGTAGGACCCCATATGTGATGTAGATAAAGTCTTCTCTACTGGGATTTTTTTTTTAAGAAAGTGGGAGTACACTCAATTACAGTGCTGCAGAGTTCCCACAGATGTTTCTTGAAGTTGTCTTGGAGTGACTTTTCAGCTACAGGGTTGCTCCTACTGTACAAGATGCTGCAGCTCTAAATAGCCTACTAGAATGGTTAACGTAAACTTGGTATGGAAGGGAGGGGAAAAGGATGAGTATGGCCTGTCTTGGGCAGTTGCTTTAAATTAAGACAATAATGATGTCAGTAAAAAAAAAGGGAAATATTCTGGTTTGCTTTCCTTTTGATAGAACATTTATTGACACGAGTTTCTTGAGGGTTTTTGTTAGTCTTAGCACTTCCATGGTTCAAGAGTCTTAAAATGATGAATCCTCAGGTCGTCTTGCTTATAATATTTTCCATATAGCTCTTCCAGAGCAGCTGTTATCATGGGTACCTCCTTCTAGTCTTTATGTAGTGTGACTATAGCTCTCTCCTAATGCCTCCATCCCTGTACTGACATTAACTTCTTCCTCTCTTTTCTCCCTTATTTCCAGCAGCTATTCCTTTTCTAGCTCACTCTCTTCCCATCCTCTGCTGTTGAGGTGGGGAGCAAATAGGACCTTATCTCATGTTTTAAAGTTAACACTTCATATTTTTCTTGGAGCAAGATGTACAGTCTTAACAAGTAATATTTCTGAACTATGGAAAGCATTCTTGGATTATATGTGACTTGAACTCCTCTTCTTAAATAACCCCAAATGATAATATCAGAGATGTATATTTTCTCTAACTAGTTCCAGAACCTCATGACACTTGCTATATGCTTGTTAATACATCCTGTGACACATAATGGTTGAACAGGCATGCACATTGTGTGGCTTAAATAAATATTGAGGGGTTTTAAATTTCTGGTGGTGTGATAATTGTCTGTCTCTTGCTTTCAGAAACCAGATGTCTTGACCACCGGTGCTGGGAACCCAGTAGGGGATAAGCTCAATGTTATGACGGTGGGGCCACGTGGACCTCTTCTTGTCCAAGATGTTGTTTTCACTGATGAGATGGCTCATTTTGACAGAGAGAGGATTCCTGAAAGAGTTGTGCATGCAAAAGGGGCAGGTATGTTTAAAACCACCTGCTTTTTCTCTGTGAAGAGTTAGACTTTAAAAAGCTTTTGAGTTAACATATAGATTGTGACAGATAAATTGTATCATATTAGCCATAATTGTAGATTGTATGTCAACAACAGTGGTATGGCCTGATTTAAAAGACCTCAATGCCAAAACTTGAAGCATTGAAAAACTGTTGGGGGGGGGAAAACAAACAAAACAACAAAACCTGAGAGAAAATGGAGTTATAGCTCTTAGATTATTATTTTTTTTACTGTATTTGCTGCAATCTCTGCTTCCTCTATTTGTTCCTCCCTAGTATCCCATTCCTCTGGAAGGGAAGACTTACTCATCTCCATTTTAATATCTGCTTGTATGTTATTTGATAGAGATTCTTGTCATCCAGCGTATCTGTCTGCCAAAGCAAGATGATGGTCTAATATTTAAATTAAAACTAAAAAACCCAACTAATTTTAAAATTTGTTATTGATTAGTAGGGTAGAATTGCCAGCTCTGATTTCTTTGTTACATATTGCCCTGGAAGAAGAAAACTGAATTCTGTTATAATGGAATGTACATGGGAAAAATTCCTGTGGGGGTGGGAAGAACTTTGTTGCGTCATCCAGTTTACAGGTGGACCAAGAATTCTGCAACACATATCAGGATTAAAGAAATACTTGTCTAGCTCTGAGGTAAATATGCAAATCTTGGCAGAAGAGATTCCAAAAAGCTCCTGTTTGTTATTTTGCATAGTACAAATGAGTTCTAGTTTGTTGTTGGAAACTGTTAGCAATTGGTTAAGGAGGGGAGAATGAGCACTGTGCAAATAGTAGTTTTTGTTAAGTAAATGTCATTTTGTGACAATAAATTGAGTGTTTTAGTGCATAGATATAAACTGTTTAAACTGTTGTATTTCCATGTTTCCTTATGACTTAAAGTTGTTTGTTGGACCGTAATGGAATAATGGATACGCTGTGAATGAAAGGAAGGCATCTAGATCTAATATTTTGAAATTACTTTGTTTTTTTCAGGAGCTTTTGGCTATTTTGAAGTCACGCATGACATTACCCAGTATTGTAAGGCCAAAGTGTTTGAACACATTGGAAAAAGAACTCCGATTGCGATACGATTCTCCACGGTTGGTAAGGCTCCAAAGTTATTGTGTGTCTCCTTACGTGTGTGCCATAGTTACACTGACAGCAATGGGTGAAGATGGAACACTTAATGTACTTAAGGTAGTTTGAAATCCTTTCTGTCCACTAGTTCCTCTTTTGTGAATTTTCATTTAAATTACTAGGCCTTAAGTAGCTTCTGCATCTTTCTGCCAGAGCTCTCTGTAGACCCTTTTCTCTCTGGAATGTGAGAGAAAAGATAGTCTGAGCTATTTTCTTTTCTGACAGAACATTTGCTTTGTTTCTGGATGGATCGGAATCAACACTTGGGTGCTGTGGTATAACACTTAGAAGTTAAATACCTGTAATCTTTTATGCTATAGGAATGTTTTGGGGATGAATGTTGCAAAGTAAGTACTAGGCAAAGAAGAATAAATAATATTCCATAAACAAACTCTTACTTTTCAAAGAACTGAATGCATAAACTAGCAAAATCTTAAGTGATGTTAGTTAAAACATGCATTAGCATCGAAAGCTTGTCTGATAGAAAAATGATCTTTCAAAATTTGTGTTATTACTCTAACTGTATTTAATAGAAAAGAAAAACCAATGAGGATTCAGTTTTAGAAGTATTGGAGAGAAGTATTTAGAGTATTGGAGAGAAAGTAGTCCAGCAAGGCTCAGGGATCTGCTGCTTTTGGCCTGCTGCCTTTTCTCTGTCACTAGAACTTAAGGAGCGGTGGAATGTTATACATTCCATGTACATGGACAGATGTGCAGCTGAGTTTGATCTTTGGACTGTGTGCTGAAGTGGATTCTTGCAGTGTTACCTTTCTTTTCCCTGCTCTGTTTGAACATGTTTCTTCCTGGCTGTTCAGTAGTACACCATTTTCTCAAGGAGAGAGAGGGTGTCCTTGTTATTTCACCATGATGTTTAGTGTTAACTGTTCCTGAATACTTCTGGAACACTTCTGCTCTGTTATAAACTTACCTATTGAAAGGACTGTTTTGGATAAAGCAGGAGGGGAATTAAAAGAGTTGTAACTCTTCTATAATAGTTTCTCTTTTTATTAAGCATGCTATTTAGGTTACTACCTTCCAAATGAGAGCTTTCATGCTGGGTTTTGATGCACAGAAACTAGTGTGTGCTTTAGTCAATTCAGCCTTAAAATCTGTTGATGTCTCTGTTAGTGGTAGGGCAGATTGCACTCTTAGTTGGTTCAAGTGCATATACTTGTTTTTTCTTTCTTATAACTGTGACCCAAATGCTTGGGTGGGTGTCTGTTCATGCTTTGGAAACCGAAGTGTTGTTGAAAATATGCCACAAATTCCTTGGTTTAGAAAAGACTTAAATTAATAAACCTCACCCATTTTGGATTTTTATGGCATATTTTCAAGTTCTATTTGTTTATGCTTAGTGGTTTGTATGCCTTTCCTATGATAACATATATATTTTTGTGTGTTTCTTCAAGCTGGAGAATCTGGCTCAGCTGATACAGTGCGTGACCCTCGAGGCTTTGCAATGAAATTCTATACGGAAGAGGGTAACTGGGATCTTGTGGGGAATAATACCCCCATCTTCTTTATTCGGGATGCAATGTTGGTGAGTAAGTGCTAAAGGTGAGGGGACTTTGTGAAAAGAGTCCAAAATTTCAATCGCATCTTGCTCGTGCTCCACTGAGAAGCAAAAGCACCTGTTTTGACATACTTGTTTGTTAGATTATCCAAATGTTTTTGACTTGAAAAGGTGTTATTTAAAAAAAAAAAGTAAGAACTATTGCTTGATTACTTATGTGGTTTCATACCATCAATACCACACATCTAGTTGTGTTCAGATTTGCTCTTTTACTCTGTAGATAGTTTTGGTTTGTTTTTTTTTTTTTTTTACATTCTGAGGCTACTGGGGGGAGAGGGGAGAAAGACTTTTCACCCTAAATGCTGCTTGCAAATTCTTTTATTAAATCTGATTTTTTTTTTTTATCTTTTAATGTAAGTTTCACATTGCTTTGTAAGTGGAGGGGCTTTACTTGAGTGGAGGAGTTCTGCACAGACACTTCATAGTACCTTTGTATTCATTTAGGAGTCAGAAATTCAGTAAAGGTCACATATACAAATTTAAGATTTTGCTCTCACTTTATCAGTCACAAAATGAAAACATTCTTTAGCTTTGAACAGCCCATTTATCCTAATTATAAATGTTTCACTTTCACAGACCAGTAAAATTAGGGTAATTAATTTGGTTGCAAGAGGTGTATGATAATAGAAGGTTTTTTCAGTGATTTTTACATGTTTGTCTCATCTTTTGGTTTGTTGTTCCTTTCATAGTTAAGTATATTGTAAAAACTGCTTGTCTTAGTTGCTTAGTATTTGCCATGTACCCTATATAATTTTGAGGTGTTACAGAACTTTTTTTTCTCCTTTCTTCCTCTCTCCTCCACTTCTGGACAAATTAGTTTCCATCCTTCATCCATAGCCAAAAGAGGAACCCTCAGACTCATTTGAGGGATCCTGACATGATGTGGGACTTCTGGAGTCTTCGCCCTGAGTCTTTGCATCAAGTAAGGTTCTCCTTTGACTTTATTGTGTATGATTAAGAAAATCATGTTAAGACAGTATGTATTTTTAACTATGTTTTTTCCATATTTTGTCTGGAAGCCTATATAATTTTTTACAAATAGTAAAGCTGAAAGGGCAATGATAACTTTTAAGGCTATTAGTATGTGTATCTAGTCCTTTTTTCTTTTAATGATTCTATGAAATAGGGTGGGATTCTTGTGTTTTCCCTATATTTTATATAGGGATGAAGGGAAAATTGTGAAGCTTTCTAATGCTAAAGCAGTGGAGGCACTGGTAAATGGCAAAACTGTTAATGTTAGAGGACAGTAAAATACTGGGAAAGTAATCTATCACGTAAGTTTATTTAAAGGTGTATATGATGTAGCACACGAGATCAACTCCAAAAATGACTAGAATTCACAGTGCATTATAATGATTCTGAAATGTAATTGTATCTAAGAATGTTATGCAAAAAAGCTACTATAAAATTAAAAATGCAGTTGTATTTTCTTTTTTAAAAAATGGCTTCCTACAGAAACCTTCCAGTAATTACAAATTAGAAAAAGAAGTACCACAAGCATTGTTTGTGATATTAAAAAAGCTGCTTTTCTTTAGGTTTATTGTGTTTGCCCGGTGGTATGTTTACTGCTTGAAGGCTTTGATGAACTAGTTGTTAAGGACTTCAGTTTTCAGATTTTTCTCTTTAACCTGGGAAAAGCACCTCATTTATGTTTGTAACTTAAATTATCCATGCTTGTCTGCTTGGTGCTTCAAGGGAAATAATAACATTATTACTAGATTAGTGCCTCATAGTTCACCAAATATTTAATGTGGGCATAAAACTTCACATAGGTTTAATTCACAATTGTTTCTTTGTGCAAAGCCAAAGCAGTCTTATTTCATTAACACTCTTAGAACTTGAAATTCCTCAAGGAATTAATAACATTAAGATAGCTTCCAGTAATGCAGATTAATGCAATAAATGAACTTTGCTTTGAATGATCATCTTATCCTTGAACTGGTGAGTCCATTAATATTGTTTGATCCTTCTCTTTAGGTGTCTTTCTTGTTCAGTGATCGTGGCATTCCTGATGGCTATCGCCATATGAATGGATATGGATCCCATACTTTTAAACTGGTGAATGCTAGTGGAAGAGCAGTTTATTGCAAATTCCATGTGAAGGTATTGATTTTTTTTTTTTTCCAGTTCTCTATTGGAAGTATACACCGTATTGGATAAAAACCAGTTTAAATAGGCTGTATAAAAATGTTCTGTGACTTCTCAAGTTTCATTCAGAAAAGACTTACTAGTGCATAGACTCAATCAAAAAGGTGTGGGATTTTTTCCTATATCAGTTCATGCCTTTAACAAATATGATGGACATAATTTTTCCTGCAATGACACAGTAGGTATTTACTGAACTATGAAAAACTCTTCTTTGGGGAGCTGTCTTTTGTTTTTGGAGAACTTAGTCTACTTGTGTGGTGAACTCTGAGCTTTTTTTTTCCTATATCAGTTTCATGTCTTTAACAAATATTATGGACATAATTTTTCCTGCGATGACACAGTAGATATTTACTGAACTGTGAAAAACTCTTCTTTGGGGAGCTGTCTCTTGTTTTTGGAGGACTTAGTCTACTTGTGTGGTGAACTCTGAGCTCCTGGGTCAGCTTATTGTACTTCAGCCTCGTGCTTCCTATCAGACTCCCTTGCTATCATTCAACTTAACTGTATTTCAGCCTCGCGCTTCCTATCAGACTCCCTTGCTATCATTCAGTGCAGATGCCAGGATTCTTTAGCCCTTTGGAAATGTGTTTTATTCAGTGTGTATCTTCCTGTTTCGTGTTTATGGCTACACATTAGTTCAGATTCAACAGCTTCTGCTTCAGGTAGAAGTTCTCTCAGTCTGGATCTGGCTTTTGTTCCCATTTATCTTCTGGATACAACCTGCATTGATCAAGTATTTTTAAGATAGACTTAACTGGTTGTCAAAATATAGAAACTCTGTTTTATAAGAGCTCTGCAGCTGAAGCTCACAGAACTTCCACGCTTCTGTGAGAAAGCAGCCTCTAGCATATCTCACCTGAAAACAGCTTCCCGTCGTGGTTTTAAAGACAATGTCAAAATATAGGAACTTTGTTTTACAAGAGCTCTGCAGCTGAAGCTCACAGAACTTCCACGCTTCTGTGAGAAAGCAGCCTCTAGCATATCTCACCTGAAAACAGCTTCCCGTCGTGGTTTTAAAGACAATATAGCTTCTTACCTAATAGGACATCAACGTTTGAAGCAACACTTTGAAAACCATCATGTTAAACTAAGAGGGACTGTATAGCAGCTTTGAGTTGTCAAAAGCTTATTAAAATGAGATTTTAGTTAGTGCTAAACATGTCACAAATAGAGGTGGGGAGGTGGTAAATGGAAATTCATGTAGAATCCAGAACTTTCAGCCCAGAGGGTTGCAACCATTTTATCACTTTGTGTTGGCACGTGGCCTGTAGGAAAAGGTGGGATGATGGGAGAGTAGAGGAGCACCACATCCTGTAAGGGGAAAGGGCAAATTGCTTTTCTGGATGTGCAGTGGGGATCATACTTTCGTATTTGATACTTTGTGTTCTGTGGTATAGCATTACATATTTATTTTACTTTTATTGGAGAACTAATTTTTATCTGGGTGGCAGCTGCTGAACATACTGTTATTCTGAACTCAAATTATTGGAGATTGAAAGATGGACAATCATACTTCAATTCTGTCTTGTTATGGCATATTCTTATTAATGATTTCTGTAATACTGTCTGCGTGTTGTAACTGCTTTTATTGCTTTTAGACTGACCAGGGCATCAAAAATCTTCCTGTTGAAGAAGCAGCAAGATTGGCTTCTACTGATCCCGATTATGGAATCCGTGATCTTTACAATGCCATTGCCACGGGGGACTATCCATCCTGGTCTTTCTACATTCAAGTTATGACATTTGAAGAAGCAGAGAAGTTTCCATTTAATCCTTTTGATTTAACTAAGGTATCTTTGATACTGTTGCAAAGTTCAATTCCAACTCCTTCAAGAAAGGTCCTGGAGATCAAAATGTAGCAAATGCCAGAATTGAGTTTATCTATAAAAAAGTGTAACTGTTTCCATGAAAGAGCTACTAGTAATTACTAGTCCATGTCAAACTTAAGTCTGTCCTTTTATTCTTCCCTTCTATTTTTTATGTGTACTGTTCATTAGATGGTTGTGATGAGTCAGAAGTTCTGGTAATGAAATTATATTGATGTTCTATCTGATGTTACCCTTCCTGGGTGAAATATGGATAGGGCTTGATTCCAGGCCAGTAGATCACAACTGCTCTGTGTTTCCAAAGTGTGATCTGGGGTTGTACAGTCACACCCTGAGCTCACTGGTTTTAGGTGGTGTTGATAACAGCTTCTGACAGTTCATCTGATTTTTGTCAGACTTCCAATTGCTGTTCCAGGGAATGGCTTGTTGAATGAATGAAAGATACTAAAGTGAACTTGTTTCACTTTCCCCGCCTCCCCCTCTAATATTGCTCTCCCCAAATGGCTGAAGATGCTTGAACTTGAAAGTCCAGGCTAAGATGACAAAGAAAAGCCTAGTTAAGCTGGTTGCATTTTGAAGTGGCTGAAAACAATCACGCTCCCAGTTCCACCTACGATAGTGCCTTCCTAGGCAGTTTTTCAAGCGCCTGTGGGTATTTCATTTAAGTAGTCAAGTGCTGAGACTATCCTGGGATGATGAAATAAGTTGCATTATTGCTCTGTGTTGATTGCAAAAGACTTCTTAAAATAAGACATTTCTCAAAATGTTTGCTTTCCTTCAGTAATGTATTTTCTTGGTCAAGACTTAAGTTGGGGAAATGCTGCTTTGTAATTATTTAAGCTGCACGATCCTGATATATATTTTTTTTAATGTACGTGTGTTATGTCTTATAGATTTGGCCTCATGGTGACTACCCCCTCATCCCTGTGGGAAAGCTTGTCTTGAACAGGAATCCTGTCAATTACTTTGCAGAGGTGGAACAGATGGCCTATGATCCCAGCAACATGCCTCCTGGCATTGAACCTAGCCCTGATAAAATGCTGCAGGTAAACTACGATGCATGGAAGGTTTTTTTACCTGAAGAGTGTTAGGTTTTCTTTGCTGTTTATGAAAACATTCCTGTCCCTGTTTGTGTAGCAGCAGCAAACCTGACAGATTTATTTTCTTAATTTGTTTTTTGTGGTGGTTGTTTTTAATCATCGCCTTTTGATGTGCTCATCTGACATTTAAATATAAAAAGAATGGGAAAGCACTAAAGGAACAGAAAATCTAGAGTTTAGAGGGCATTTACAACAACTGTCAGCTGATGGGGAAATCTGTCAGTCTGGCAAGAAGTAGGGGATAAAATCATTGCAGCAGTCCATATTTATTCATGCTTTTATAGTATATCTTAGAATTATAAACTTTTAGGAGTGTGAGGTGGATTTCAAATGCTCTAAAATACACATCTAACTAATCCCTGATACAAACTGCAAGACTATTCTTTAAAAGTAGCATCAGATTTCTTACAGGTCAAAATACCTGATAAGACTGGCTGCAGCAAACTATAATGTCTGCAGAGTCGTGAATGTTGGCATGTTATGCTTTTTCTGATTAAAACCAGATTGTTTCAAATACTATCTATGGAAACAGAAAGGTATTTTGAGAGTTTTAACTGGATAAGCTCTTATGGATGTTGGCATGTTATGCTTTTCCAGATTAAAACCAGATTGTTGTTTCAAATTATATCCATCAAGAAGATATTTTGAGAGTTTTAACTGGATAAGCTCTTGAACCTTTGTGTGTGGTTCTTTTGCTTCGTCTCTCTTTGCTCCCCCAAACTTCATGGTCAGAATCATTCTTTTTGGCATCCAGATGTTACTAGGACTGCTTCAGATACAGTTCAGCACATAAACAAGGGACTACCGTATTTCAGATGTAATCAATTCTTAAATCTAAGGTTGAAAATAAGTAGGAAAATATTATTATTTCTTAGGAACATTTAGCACCGCTAGAAACAAGGGACTACTGTGTTTCAGATGTAATCAATTTTTAAATCTAAGGTTGAAAATAAGTAGCAAAATATTATTTCTTAGGAACATTTAGCACCGCTATAGGCACTTTCATTTTCACTTTAAATTTTATGGAATGAAAGCAGTCCTCTCCCTTTTGCAATTTAATATATAGTGCTTTGAATTGCCATATAGCACTTAAGTAATCTCTTTCAGCAAGTTAATTTTTGTGATAAATGTTTTAGGGTCGTCTCTTTTCGTACCCTGACACTCACAGACACCGTCTGGGACCCAACTACCTACAAATTCCTGTGAACTGCCCCTTCAGAACTCGTGTGGCCAATTACCAGAGGGATGGACCCATGTGTGTTACTGACAACCAAGGTAGTAATGAAAATAATTTGGAATATAATGATACTTATACGTGTAGCGCAGAATTCTTTTCTATTCACTGGGGATTTAAGATACTTCCTAAATAGATGTGTTTTTTTCAATATTGCTAACTTATTATACTGTAAGAAATGCTACTTTTTTTCCTCAACCATTCAGTGTCTTTTGTGGCTTCCCCCCAGCTCAGACATCACTGTGTAACTTTGTTTGGATGCTTGGACAGGGGGTGGGGAGTTTTTTTCACACTTTGAAACAGACCCAAGTGAAGCTTAAGATGTGTTTTAAAAACTTACAAGTAGATGTTTAAGAGAAAGGGGGTTTGCAGGACAACACCCCCAGTCCAACAAATTCATTGATGTCCCTAGGTCATGTTCCTTTAAAGACTTCTTGAAACATGCTTGTTAAAGTGGACTTGATTGAAAGAAGTTGTAAGATATTAATTATTTAAATATTGAAATATGCAAGAGAAATGGTTTCACAGATGTTAATTGCTACCTCTTTGTTTCTACCTCTAGGCAAAAATCTAATCTAAAAATACGAGGTGGCCTAAATGTCTTTGAGAAATCTATTTGTATTTCTTAAATTTAAAGACTGAGTTTCATATACTCGGTCTACTTTGTTGAAGTGCTTTGGTGTCTCATTTCCAAGAGATTGCGAAAGGCAAGAGTATAAATGCCAAAACTGGAGCTTTAACATCACCTCTATTCAGCAGTCTCCCTTCTGTCAACATTTGCCCAATAGTGACTGTTTTACACCTGGGAGTGAACAAGGAAACGCTTAAGCTCTGCCTCGTGCCAAAAGCACTGTGTTGCTCTGGGCTATGAATTCTAATGCTGAGGGAGGAGAGGGAAATATTTGTAAAATGGGAACTTAAAAAGCAGCTACTTCTGTCCAAGAAGCGATAGGTTTATTTTTGTGCAGTTCTTTAAGTTCATTATGTGTTTAAAATACCCCCCCTCCATAGTTAAGATTAGTAGTACTTCAAATATGCATATGAAAGTGTGTTTTTTATGCTGCCTTGGACTAAAACTTTTAACAACTTCCATGACTTTTGTCAATTAAAATTGTCTAAGCAATGTTGCTGTGTGTGGCCAGGCCTCCTACCTGAAACAAATCAATTTTTCCCCCACCTCCAGCTATTGAAATTGTTTGTAGTAAGTGCCATTAAGTACTGGCTTGAAGACACAACTCCTGATGTTGAGCTCTGTGTTGACAGAAAAATACTGACAACTGGTTTTTATTGAAGTGAATCATAACTGGGTGATTATTTTAGGTTCTTCTAGGCGAAGAACACTTTCTGTCTTCTGAGTTTTAGGTTCTAGGCGAAGAACACTTTCTGTCTTCTGACTTCATCTGCGGAAGCTGGCATCTGACTGAAGTTTGTTTTGTTTGTTTGTCTTCAGGTGGTGCCCCAAACTATTATCCAAATAGTTTTACTGGTCCTGAAGATCAGCCCGTGTTAAAGGAATGCCGCATGTACGTTTCGGGAGATGTGCAGCGCTTCAATAGTGCCAACGAAGATAATGTGACTCAAGTCATCTGCGGAAGCTGGCATCTGACTGAAGTTTTTTTTGTTTGTTTGTCTTCAGGTGGTGCCCCAAACTATTATCCAAATAGTTTTACTGGTCCTGAAGATCAGCCCGTGTTAAAGGAATGCCGCATGTACGTTTCGGGAGATGTGCAGCGCTTCAATAGTGCCAACGAAGATAATGTGACTCAGGTATGACATATGAAATGCCTTTATAGTATTTATTACATACAGGAGTTTATAGGACGAGTTTAGAGAATATTAATAGGAATCAGTCAAACACGACTTCTCTCTGAAGCATCTGGGCTAACCTGAAGTTCAGCTCTTGTGACAGCTGGGAAAATCTCCATACAGCTTAATTTCATGAATAACTTGAATTTTTGCTGACAGGATAGTTAGTGAATTCTCACAGACCTTTGCCATCCATATTCTGGGCACGGATATCTAGAGGTTGTGACTTGGTTGTCTTGCAGTCAGTGTCTGCAGATATCCAAACTGGAGTATTTATGTAATGTCATGATCATCAATTCCTTAATTGGACCCCAGTATGATACATGAAATGCCTTTATAGTATTTATTACATACAGGAGTTTATAGGACGAGTTTAGAGAATATTAATAGGAATCAGTCAAACACGACTTCTCTCTGAAGCATCTGGGCTAACCTGAAGTTCAGCTCTTGTGACAGCTGGGAAAATCTCCATACAGCTTAATTTCATGAATAACTTGAATTTTTGCTGACAGGATAGTTAGTGAATTCTCACAGACCTTTGCCATCCATATTCTGGGCACGGATATCTAGAGGTTGTGACTTGGTTGTCTTGCAGTCAGTGTCTGCAGATATCCAAACTGGAGTATTTATGTAATGTCATGATCATCAATTCCTTAATTGGACCCCAACAGTAATATTTGTTTTCATTAATTCAATAAACAACAGTTATTCCAAGCTAGACATACAGTTGTTAGCAGGTTTGCCACCTCACTTGCCCCCCCAAATTGGTTGGCTTTTAACTATTTCCTCACCCCCCCCAAATTGGTTGGCTTTTAACTATTTTAAGCGTTGTCTGACTAGTAAGAGTGAAAACTATTCTTTTTCAGTAATAATATATCCTAATAATCTAATAAGTATTTTTGGCTGCTACAGGTAGAATGACTTGCTCTTAGGAATTTAAAAATAAAACTCTGTTTCTAATTGTAAGGTGCGAGAATTCTATACCAAAGTGCTTTAAACTCTGTTTCTAATGGTAAGGTGCGAGAATTCTATACCAAAGTGCTGAAGGAGGATGAACGCCAAAGGCTGTGCAAAAATATTGCTGATCATCTTAAAGACGCACAACTCTTCATTCAGAAGAGAGCTGTAAGTGGTTTTTAGCCTTTGCTCATTATCCCAGGTTTTCTCATGGTCTACTAACTCTGTCAAAATGGCAATATCCTCGTGGAAGGCAATATCAAAAATTCTTCTCTAAGCAGGCAACTTCTAGATTTTTCTTATGAAGGAATTATCAATACTTAAATATGCTTATATTTACATAATATAAATAATGTATAACATGTTAAAGTAACTCCTTTTCTGTTGGGAAGAATGGGATTGATGTTGAGCATCAAGGATGGTGTTTCAAAAATCAGGTGACTCCAGTGTAATGGTTTGCTTTAAACAAGGAGAAACTAGCAGGGGTCAGGGAGGGATTGGATCTTTTTATCCTTCCCAGTGGAACTTTGTTTAAATCATGAAAGAACTCTATGTGAGATAATAGAAAGAAATAGTGTTGAAATAGTCCATAGTTCTTTTCTGACTTGTCAGAATTAAAGTTTTGGAAAAGAGTTTTCATCTTCCTTTTCTTCCTTCTGTTATCTACTGCTTGTAGACCACAGAGCAGAAAATGTGTACCTTTTGAAGTGGAGAAAAAAAAATCTTGTTGCCTTTTCTGTTCTGTCTTCCTATTTAGGTGAAAAACTTCACTGATGTCCATCCTGACTATGGTGCCCGAATTCAGGCTTTGCTGGACAAATATAATGCTGACAGTGGGAAAAAGGTATGCTAATGATCTCTGTGTTTGAATTCTGGCTGTGAATTAGCTTGTTTTGTAAACCCCAAAAAGAGAGAAATGGTTATGGATTCCCATTTAGTTTAAAATAACATGTTAAAGTAACTCCTTTCCTGTTGGGAAGAATGGGATTGATGTTGAGCATCAAGGATGGTGTTTCAAAAATCAGGTGACTCCAGTGTAATGGTTTGCTTTAATATAAATAATGTATAACATGTTAAAGTAACTCCTTTTCTGTTGGGAAGAATGGGATTGATGTTGAGCATCAAGGATGGTGTTTCAAAAATCAGGTGACTCCAGTGTAATGGTTTGCTTTAAACAAGGAGAAACTAGCAGGGGTCAGGGAGGGATTGGATCTTTTTATCCTTCCCAGTGGAACTTTGTTTAAATCATGAAAGAACTCTATGTGAGATAATAGAAAGAAATAGTGTTGAAATAGTCCATAGTTCTTTTCTGACTTGTCAGAATTAAAGTTTTGGAAAAGAGTTTTCATCTTCCTTTTCTTCCTTCTGTTATCTACTGCTTGTAGACCACAGAGCAGAAAATGTGTACCTTTTGAAGTGGAGAAAAAAAAATCTTGTTGCCTTTTCTGTTCTGTCTTCCTATTTAGGTGAAAAACTTCACTGATGTCCATCCTGACTATGGTGCCCGAATTCAGGCTTTGCTGGACAAATATAATGCTGACAGTGGGAAAAAGGTATGCTAATGATCTCTGTGTTTGAATTCTGGCTGTGAATTAGCTTGTTTTGTAAACCCCAAAAAGAGAGAAATGGTTATGGATTCCCATTTAGTTTAAATCATAGAATCGTAGAAGTAGTTTGGGTGGGAAGGAAAGTTTAAAGGCCATCTAGTCCATCCCCCCTGCTATGAGCAGGGATGTCTTCAACTTGATCAGGTTGCTCAGAGCCCAGTTAAACCTGACCTTGAATGTTTCCAGGGATGGGACATCTACCACCTCCCTGGGCAACCTGGGCCAGGGTTTCACCACCCTCAGAGTAAAAAAATAAAATCCCACACTGCTGGGGACGTATCCCAGGATGTGAGGGTCTTTCTGGGCTGTGAGCACGTATTGTTGGCTCATGGACAGCTTTTCACCCAGAAGTGCCACCAAGTCCTCTGCTTTCCACCCCTTCATCCCCCAGCCTGTGCTGGTACCAGGGGTTGCCCTGACCCAGGTGCAGGACCCTGCACTTGGCCTTGTTGAACCTCATGAGGCTCTAAAATTCTTGAGCTGGGTGTGTCAACGGCACCACTCAGCTTGGTGTTGTCTACAATGGCAAGAGTCGGTGCATGTAGAATTACAAAATGAGGAACCAGCACTCTAATTACATTTAATTAGATGTTGATTAACCAATAATGGACAATTGCATTGTTTCAGTTGGGTTTTTGTAAGGCTTCTGGAAGGTAACTGTACATGAGATGTGTTAAGGCTGATTCTTCAGCCTATATAATTACCCTCTGTAATGGTAATGAAACATTTCCACAGATTCTTCAGCCTAAATAATTACTCACCCTCTGTAATGGTAATGAAACATTTCCATAAGCTTTTCCTGGGCTCAGTGCTTGCTACACAGAATAAAAACATTGTTGCTTCAAGTACTGTGTTTTTTTTCCTGAAACTCACCTAACTGCTTTTAATGGAACTTGCACTGAATATTTCTTTTTTTTTTAATTATTTTTAGGATGTGATTCGGACATATACACAGTCCACATCTCGTATGTCTGCCAAAGAAAGATCCAACCTGTAAAGCGTGCTGCAGAGATTGACTCGATGAATTTTCCGTCCTTACAACTGCAGGACAACCTGTGGAAGGTGTTAATGAATGTAGCAGAGTTCTGCACAAAGCTAGAAGTGTTTTACAGGCTTGATTTGCTAAGCTTTCAAGTACCTGTACCTGTATTGGAAACTAGGTAACACAAACTAACAGTCCTAGTGCCTTTCAACACTAGTGCTTTACTGCTTGTTGACAACACGTTGTGCTTTTAAGGAAATTAATGATTAAAAATTGTCATCATTTCTAGAAGCAAATACAAATTTAATCAAAATAATGTTTTTTTTTTTTATTGTAAAACTTTTCTGGCTAAATCACAGAGTAGAACTCCTATATTGACACTGATTATCCTTACAGATCAACTTGTTCATATTAAAAAGTTGAAGTTGCTCGATATTTCGAATAAAATAGTTACCTCTTTGTAGAGAGTTTCTTTGAATTTCACTTTTGGCCATCCAGAGTTTAAAATGATGTGCAGTAGTTTGAGTAAAATGTTGGTTATGTCTCTTTCTGTATGACTGAAATGAAGCTAACTAGAAAGTTTAATCTCAATATATGTAAATTTTATTCCCAATATATATTTTAAGAAAAATCTTTGCCTACTAATGCTAGGTTGGGATATAACTTACCTAAGGGAGACAGGAAAGGATATTTCCTTATTACATACACTTTGCAACTAAATCAATTACATTTTACAGGTCTTTAGGGGGGAGAAAATTGTTCTTTTAATCTGTAAGAATTTAAATGAAAAAAAAAAATTAATTTTCTGAGAAATTAACCTCCAAAGCATGAATGTTTATATCTTGGCCAAACTCAATCTTGAGCTCTTTCAAAATTGTTTGCAGTGGTTCCTGAAATTCTGCTATTTTACTGCTGTAGTCTGGTTACATTATCTATTGATCAAGCCAGAGCTGGTTTTCAGAGTTAGACTTTAATTGACGTGGCATGTTTGAATGTGGGTTCCTATAGCCAGATATATCTATAAACCCTGATTTTAGGCATTCTGTAATGTTGCCTGGTATTTGCAATTTACTTAATCAGTGCAAAAGATCTTGGAACCCTTTGGATAGAAAGGTGTTCCCTATTATTATTCCTTAGATCCAGAGGAGTTTCTTTAGCTCAGTAATACTTTTTTCATCTTCGGTCTTGGAGTATAATCTTTAATCAGGCTTTACTCATTGGCACAAAATGAAAGTGTTTATATTTGAGAACTTAGAGCAATAGTTAAATGATAATTATGGAATTTCTGGGCTTAATGTTTGTTGAATGTGAGAAGTGGCCACCTAAGAAAGTATGTTGTCACCATCTGGATGTTTTATTATACAAGGACACAACAAAACCAAGACTAATGGCTAATATCCCACCTGGTATTTTTTCTTAGATAATTATTTGCAATGTGCTACCTGGTTATGGAGTAATTGGTGTCCAAGCTGACTATTTGGAGCTTGGAATAAAATCTATCATATCTGTTGGACATTGAAGTTAGTCCCAACAGACCAAAAGATCTTCACGAATGTGCTCAGTAGGACCAGGCAATTCACCGTGCATCTGGAGTCCTGGCAAGTTCTAATAACTGCTTTGCCTCTTACTTCTTTCTCTTTTCTTGCCAAAGAGAAAGATCAGTGTGTATGTGTAATTAGTCCAGACCCTGATTGTGCAGCATTACCCCTTGTTTGAATTAATTGCTTTCCTTTTTTTCCTGCTGATACTGCCTCACTAGCATTTGGATTGGAAAAAAGCATGAAGATACAAAGGATTTCAGAGCCCAGCCTCTGGCTCTAAAGCAAATATTATGCAAATTTCAAATCATAGCAGGGTGGTTTTTTTTTTCAATATTCAGTGAGTTTCTGGGTCTGTCTTGAGTTGCGTTTTGAATAGTACTTCTTGGTTTGGCCTTTATGTGTGAACTGGCATTTCAAGAAGTGATGGCAGATAAAGAAGAGTAGATGTTAAGTGCTGTTCCATTAAATTGTAAGAATCTGCTTCTTCAACTCATTTATCAACTAACCTATTGTGAAAAATTAACTGTGATACAGATGCAGTAAAATAATAGGAACTGAGAGCCTGCTCTGTCCTGGAATTCAGTTGGATTTTCACCCTATCAGGCAGGTGGGAGCTGAAGGAGCTTTACAAATGGGTGGGGATATTTTTTGCTGGAACACAGAATCCTACTGACTTTGGAAAAGACTAACCAGGGCTTAATCTTCAATTTTGGTTGTATCTGCTAAATGAATTATATTGTCTTCCTCTTATTTCTGAAATAAAACTGAATTTAGAAATCTCTTAGTGTCATGTTGTCTGTTTTCTGTGTAATTAACTAAAATAGTTTATTTTAATCTAGGAAGATCCTACCTTCATCTGATTTCTTTATTTATTTTGAGATCATGGATAGCTGTTGTTTATTTTAATCTAGGAATATCCTACCTTCATCTGATTTATTTATTTTGAGATCATGGATAGCTGTTTTGAAGTTCTGGGTAATTGGTATCTATTTCAGAACTCAGTTATTTGTCCTGCACAGGCCTGGAATGCTGACAAAAGCCTTGGACTTCATGTGTAGGGGCCAAGCACTAAATTCTGCTCAGCTGTGATACGTGAAATTACTTACCAGCAACCTTTTCTTTAATTTCCTTGGCCTTCAGAAAAGGGAAAGCTGCTCATGCCTGTGGTACAGCAGTGCCTATGGTTGCACCATATCGAACAGGAAGAATTTGCAGTCCTGCTTACTGCGAATTTTATTGATTGTACCTTATTTTAGCCCCTATTTCCTGAAGAACCTTTTGTTATCTTTTTATCTAAAAACTTCGGTGGCAATTCACAGAAGTGTCACAAGGTTGTCTAGTTTCTCATCACAGTTCACTCAAATTTTAGTGAACGACAGTTCCTAATAGTTTGAGTATGTAAAGCTGAAATACAGCACTTGACTTGTGTATCAAAACTACTAGATAGCCTTTCAAAAAGCTCTCGGGATTTTTGATACTCAAATGTTCAGTTCTGCTTTTCTCACTGCTCTTACTTTGTTCCTGAATCCCTACTTTGCCTTTCCAAGGTAGGGAACTGTGTGCCTCATGCCTCGTTGTACGTTGTACCTTCAGAAATCAGTGGGTAAGTGCACCGACTGTCCATGTGGTGGGAAGGGCACTGTGACATGAATTTGTGGAGCCTTTAGGAGAGTGTTTAACATAAATGCTATTTTATGAACTTTGTCCAAGTGGCCTTTATCCGACTGTGCCCATAAATGATTATTGTTAATAAATTCTAGGGTAAGTTAGACTAGTTTAGAGTAGAGGGTGGACTGAAGTTTGGTTGGTGTCAAGTCAAGAAAATTGAGCATTAAGGAATGGGGAAGAGAAGAAACATCTTGCACAGTATGGTTGAGAAGACCTAGAATGGGCTGGGCAGGCAGTATGTGCTTTCTGCAGCTACCTTTTGTTTTGAAAACTCACCATTTCAGTACTTAAAAGACTGGCCCATGTTCTGTGCTGCTAAACTGAGCATGACAAGTATTGTACAGTAAAACATGTTTTTTTCAAAAGGCGCTGAGAGGGTGAAGCAGCCCTGGAAGAACAATAACGCTGTTTCTTCAAATAAACATGACCCAAAATAATCCATTTATGGCTCCTCACCATGAGAATTAAAAGACTGTTTACATGACATGACACAGTCTCACTTATGTTTTGACTTTGTTCTGCCCAAGTAAAATCAAATATTCCTTTGATGGGTTGTTGCAATGCAATTTTTAGTTACGTGTGAAGGAGCGTTGCTCAACATCTTCCTATTACTGTTTTATTTTAGATGCACATCACTAACAGTGGAATTGGGAGTGAGTTTGAAACTTAAGTTTACAGCTTCTCTCAGAAATACCTCCGCAGGTTGTTTTCCCTTTTCCAAACTGGACTCCAGTAGCCAAAAGTGGCAGCAGATTGCAGAATCTCAGTGGACGTTTGTTGAAGAGCGCTGTGCCAGGAGACAGGTGAGTGTATGGAGTTGCTAAATCTTCTCCAGGGGAAAAAGGGTGAGGTAGGTTTGGATCAGATAGTTACAGTTTAAGCATGTTGGGAAAATTAGCCCTGAATTCCTCTCTTGAAACCAGCTGGCTCCTTGCCTTTGAGGGAAATTCTCTTCTGAGCAGTGTTTTGGTGTCCATGACTTTGGTGTCCAGTAAATAAATTGAACTAGGTGGTCTTTAAAGGTCCTTTACAACCTGAACCAGTCCATGATTCTTTCTGCATTCCTGAGTTTTGTTTGCTGTGGGACTTGAGGCTTCAAACCAGTGCTGCAGGAGTGGATTGAGCCAGCGATAATGTTGCACGTTCTTATCTCTCGTTGATAGTAGACTACGTGAAGGTGCATGGTAAAGCTTGACCTTTCCTCCCAGGCAATATTGCAGAACTTAATCTGAACCCATGTTTGGGCTTACAGTTGTGTGTCCATGACACGGGTCGTGACATGCGAAGCTGGACTTAAGCTTTGCCTTGACTCAGCTGACTCTGTGATTTAAGCAGTTGCATAAGGCCATTTTGGACAGAACTGGGAAAAGAACTAAGGCTCTAGTTTGATTGTAAATGAAATAAAGGCAATTTTGCTAGATTTAGTGGTTTGTCAGTAGTGGCTGGATTCACACTTAGCTCTTGAATCCAGAGGAAGAGCTCAAGGCCTTTATAATCTGTGCTGTGCTGCTGTCTCTCAAATAGCTGTTTAAGATGCCCAGCAGCAGATTGCGGAATCTCAGTGGACATTTATTGAAGAGGGCTGTGCCAGGAGACAGGTGAGTGTATGGAGTTGCTAAATCTTCTCCAGGGGGAAAAAGGGTGAGGTAGGTTTGGATCAGATAGTTACAGTTTAAGCACGTTGGGAAAATGAGCCCTGAATTCCTCTCTTGAAACCAGCTGGCTCCTTGCCTTTGAGGGGAAACTGTCTTCTGAGCAGTGTTTTGGTGTCCATGACTTTGGTGTCCATTAAATAAATTGGATTAGATGGTCTTTAAAGGTCCTTTACAACCTGAACCAGTCCATGATTCTTTCTGCATTCCTGAGTTTTGTTCACTGTGGGACTTGAGGCTTCAAACCAGTGCTGCAGGAGTGGATTGAGCCAGCGATAATGTTGCACGTTCTTATCTCTTGTTGATAGTAGACTACATGAAGGTGCATGGTAAAGCTTGACCTTTCCTCCCAGGCAATATTGCAGAACTTAATCTGAACCCATGTTTGGGCTTACAGTTGTGTGTCCATGACACGGGTCGTGACATGCGAAGCTGGACTTAAGCTTTGCCTTGACTCAGCTGACTCTGTGATTTAAGCAGTTGCATAAGGCCATTTTGGACAGAACTGGGAAAAGAACTAAGGCTCTAGTTTGATTGTAAATGAAATAAAGGCAATTTTGCTAGATTTAGTGGTTTGTCAGTAGTGGCTGGATTCACACTTAGCTCTTGAATCCAGAGGAAGAGCTCAAGGCCTTTATAATCTGTGCTGTGCTGCTGTCTCTCAAATAGCTGTTTAAGATGCCTGCAAAGCATCTGTCATGTCCCTCTTCTCTCCTGGTAAGGAAATGTCAATGTACATTTCTTGTGAAAACTCCTCCCACGTGAGAAGTTCTGAGGAACTCTTCTAGATCAGGATGATTTCAGTTGTGGGGCTGGATCATGAAGAAGATTCCTGAAAAAGCCCTATGTTTGCAAAAGGTTGTAAAGGGTTGCATACTTATGGAGTCTAGGAAAGTCAATCAAGGCTAAAAAAATGGGGCAGCAGTGTAAAAATAATAACTGCAGTAGCTGGATACTCAGTTCAGTGGTAATGATGACACTTTTCCAGCCTGGACTGCTGTGCAGAGCCTGTAGGATTTAGTTGTGTGATAAAAGCTTGAACTTTGTCGTGGTGGGGTTCCACCCCAAGTCAAACTTCAACCCTGGTGCAGCTGGAAATCTCACTGTGGTGCAGTCTGAGAGCAAACAGGCCCTTGGGAGCTGTGCTGAAATTTATTTTCAGGTCATGCAGGAAAGCTTGGTAACTTTTTAACTTAAAAATAAAATAATTTTACATCCTGCTCAGCAGAGCAAACTAGCTGGATCAAGGAGGTCTAGTACTGTTGTATGATTCGTTGTGACTTTTTTCAGCTTATCAGTTGCTGCCTGAGCTGTTTCATTAAATGATGATACATTATCTTGAAATTAAACAGCAGACACCAGTTACTTTGCCTTTTTTTTTTTTTCCCCCAGAAGAACTTGCAGACAGGGTCTTGACAAGTTTCTTGAAAACCTCTGAAATATTCACCTTGATTTTAATCCATCTCATTCAAATCATTCCAGGATTAGAAAAGGCATTTTGCTTTGTTGCTGCAATCAATGTTGGATCCAGTGATCCGATTCAAATTCTGGAAAGCTATAAGGGAACAAGTAAGAAGAAAATCTTCATTTCCTCTTTCAGAGCATGTGGCAAATCACAAAAATGCTTTATATAGATTTGCTGTGTCAGTTAATGTCAGTACTTATTCTTTGCTCGTTTCTCTCAGATTTCACCCTTTAAAAACTTTGACCTGTATTGAGAACTTTGTTATTTTTTTTATTGATTTCTTTTTTTCCAGTGCAATAAATCGTTGACTCAGTGATTGTTGATACAACAACAGCACTGACACAGAAGTGGATACACTCTTCTACAAGCAGACAGCTGGGGAAGAATCATCTCTCTGTATTTTCCACACTTCAGTCTCAAGAATCTTTGACCTTGTGCACACATGTTGTAAGAATTATTGAGGAATAAGGATGATGGGAGATACTGTTTACAGTCTAAGCTGCAGTTGCAACACTCCCCAGACTGGATGAAAATACCAAGTGCCTTAAGGCAGCCTTCCCTCTCTCTGCCCTTGGGGTGGCAGCTGGGCCAGTTTTTAGCTTGAAATCCAGCTTTCCCTCACGGATGCTGCCGGGGTTGCCCTTGGGAATGTGTGAAGAAGCAGGGAACTGAGTTCTTGTGGCAGGTTGAAATGTCTTTTTCTCTACTTGGGCTGTCAGACTGTGAAAGTGTGAGGGTGTCTGGGGAGACCTGAATCCAAACAAACACCCATCTCCTGCTTTCCCTGCAGCTTGCTTCCTTCACCCCACTGCAGTTACTCTGCCTTTGTAGGTCATGTCCAGCATTCTTTTTGGTTCCTCCTTGCTTTTTGGAAAACAATTAAATTAAACAAGTCGTTTCTTCACATTTAGCATTGTCTTGATATAATAGATCAAAGGGAACCACGCCAAGGGAATGGCCTGTTTGATCAACCATGGTCTTTGGTTGAGTGCTT